CATCATAGTTTATATCATGTGTTGCAACTGGATGATGATAGTGTAGTATTTGGGTTTGTGACATTTGAGGGTGACTAGGGTCTGGAGAATGTGCCCAACCTCGCGAAGCATTCTACAGTGCATGCCCATGTGAAACTGTTGCCTCCTAGACATCATCCTCTATATCAAAACCTTGTCACTTTGAAACAACCTCGGGGATATCACAATCATCAACTATTGGTGTGTCATCGTCTAACAATAGTGGAACAAAAGTTTCATAATCCTCGCTGAAATTAGTAAGGCTTTCACTGAACCACCCAACAAGGTTATCTCAATCTTCTGATGTATTCAGCAGTTGAGGAAGTAAGAATATCTGCAGTTTCAATATATATATCAATTAGTTGATTATTTGAAGATTGATGCATATCAACCATATTAACTACATCGTCATCATCATCAATCTAGATTGCTCCATATTTGAGTGGAGTTTCTGAAATTATGTGTCGATAAATCAAGCATGAAACATGGGCTCAAAGTTTTCTTTCAATCTTCTGCTTCATTTTGTTACGATACATCTAAAGAGAACATCATGTCTAAGGGCTTCTGTGATATAAACAGAACACCATCATTAGTTTGGATAACTTGGCAATTTTAGTGGACCACTGTGTAAAAATTGTTAGCCATAGCTTGGGAAAGGTTTTTGCTTGTTCAATGCAGTTGTACAAAGAACTGATTCTTTGGTTGTTAGCCATAAATAGAAAAGTCAACCTTTCAATTGGCAATTAATTATCACAAAAAATGTACATTTCTCATAAGCAAAATAATGCATCATGGCAGAAACTTTTCAGTGCCCAATTAATTATTTTTAGCAACTTTTTAATGATATATCAACTTATTTCAGCAAACTTCTCAGTGTTGATATATCACAAAAAAGTGCATTTCTCATAGGAAAAATAATGCACCATGACAAAAACTTTTCATTTCCCAATTAATTATCTTCAACAACTTTTCAATGATATATCAACTCATTTCAGCATACTTTTTAGTGCTGATATATCACTTCATATCACAAAAAACGTGCATTTCTCATAGGCAAAATAATGTACCATCGCATAAACTTTTCAGTGGCCAATTATTTGTCTTCAATAACTTCTCAGTGACATATCAACTCATTTCAGTAAACTTTTCAGTGGCCAATTAATTGTCTTCAATAACTTCTTAGTGACACATCAACTCATTTCAGTAAACTTTTTAGTGTTGGTATATCACTTCATATCAGAAAAATGTGCATTTATCATAGGCAAAATAATGCACCATGTCAGAAACTTTTCAGTTCACAAACTTTTCAGTTCACAAACTTTTCATCAACCTATTAATATGTGTGAGGGGAAAGGTAAATTACTCATTTGAAGAAAAAAATTGAGATTAAGACAGCTATTTGTGCAATAGTTTTTTATTGCAAATCTTTAACCATGTGTATCGAAAAAATATTCAACTAGATGAGTTGAAGTTTAATATAGAAATAAGGGTTCAACTCGGAAACAATAGAAGAATATCTTTGTTATACTATAGATTTCCACTATATTGCACGAGGTTTCATCTAAGGGATGATGTCGACCTTGCTGGTATGATTGAGACATACTTCTATCATTCTTTGTCTAATGTCGATTTGTTTGTAGAGTTTGCTGATCTCGACCTTCCTCGTACCATTAAGGGTGTTGCTTCCAGCTCGAACATCCAACTAACTCAAAACAAATGACAATGAAACAAACATAGATGATGGAGACCCAAAATCATGTTTCCAATTTGTACATGAACGACAACAAGAAAAAGAATGGAGAATTGGAGAACTTAATATTACTTTCGAGGAGTCTACTAATTACAAAGATTAAAACATCATAAAGAATACTGCTATGTTTATGATTTTATTTACTGTTTAAGGTTAGTTCTATTTACATCCTTAACATAATGTATTGAGTTTGTTGTTTTTTTCTTCTTAATGTCATGTTCATGGTTCGTTGTTTTTCTCTCCATAATGTAATGTTTAATAGTTTGATTTAATGTTTATAGTTCATTATTCTTTTAAACAAAATGTACTACAATATGCTTAATTTTTTAGTTATATATCAGTATGACCGTTGGAACTCCTCACATTAAAAAGATAAAAAAAAAATTGATGACGACTCTCATTTTAAAAACATGTGCATCCTATAAAACTATTTTCGAACCACCTAAAAACATTCTTGACACCCTTCCCTACTATACTTTGATTTATAATCCAAAGCAGATGACGCATTTGTAGGCTAACTTGCAATTATTTTTTCTTGGACCTGTTATTGTTTGATTAGCATAACAATCAATATAATTAGCTTGCTTTGTCTTTCCAAATGTTGCAGCACTCCAGTATAAAACAAATCACTTGAAATTTGCCTTCCGATTAACATGTTTACACTGATGGTAATGGAAGCAAAGCATTAGAAAAGTTCTTTGCTTGAGAAAAATAAAGGGAGATCATAGTTGCACTTACATATCCCAGAAAAGCAAATTTGGGTTTTCTTTCCTCTATCAAGCCAAATGCTTAAAACATTAGCTTTTTTTAAAAAAATATTATAAAGTTAGTTCAACTACAAAAAATGTAGACCTTTGTTGAATATAATGTAAATTCTGATAGCTGAATTAACATTTCAAATCAAAGCCCTGCTGCTGCGGAAATATTCCAACATCAGGAGATAATTGCTCTCTCCATTCAAGTTAAATTAGCACAAGAGAATTTGTTTAAGATCCCACAACCCCACTTATTTAAATTGGGAATCTTTCTGGTCTTTGTCAGTACCTACTTTGCCTAGGGGATGACATATTAGCAATGTTATTAAAACTGGATTGGACCGGTCGGTTCGACCGGTTAAACCGTAAATCGGTGGCCTGTCCGGTCCGGTTAACTCCTAAAACCGGATTAGCACAGAACCGGTAAAGAATTGGAAGAACCGGCTGAAAATCGGGAAAACTGGGGTGAACCGACTGAAAACCGGCAAAACCGGTTTGAACCGCCGATTCACTTTTTTTCTTTAAAAAAACCAAACGACATCGTTTGTTCAACGAGCCGAGTCAAATTCGAGTATTGCTGAGCTCGACTCGAACTCGAAAACTTTAAAAGTAAGCTCAACTCGACTAAAAAACTCATGAGCTAAAAATTATCAACTCGAAATATAATATTAAAACTTGAAATCAAAAAGGCTCGAACTCAAAAAAAAATTTAGAAGTTCGATTGAAGCCTAAAATTCGAGCTCAATTGAAGCCTGAAATTTGAGCTCAATTGAAGCCTGAAATTTGAGCTCAATTGAAGCGAAAGAATAGTTCGCTTTGTGCTCACCAAAAGGCTCCATGATTTTGAATGTCAAATTACTTCTATTATTTATAGAAGTAAGTTGGGATGCACTTCTATGTTTCTTAGCCATATGGGATTGTTTTGTTCTCATATTTTTACTCTTTAAACTTTTGGGATACTCTTCTATGTTTCTTAGTCATGTGGGATTGTTTTTTTTTAAACAATTAAACCAAATGACATCATTTGTTATAATTTTTTTAAGCCCCAATTTTATTTTTTTGATTATAGTTATATAATTATATTTATTATTTAATATGTTTTACCTTAAATATTATGTTGTAGTTGATTTGAATAATTTGGTTTCACTTGATTTTATGGTTTTTCATTTATACATGTTATGACTTGTAATATTTTTATACCTTTTAATATTGTAAACTTAAAAAAAGTGTTACATATATATTAATATTGTTTTGAATATTATGTAAAATTAAAAAAATATATTATTTTATATAAAATCCGGTTCAACCGTGGTTGAACCCGATTGAACCAGTGAATCAATACCTTCACCGGTTCAATGTCCGGTCCGATTTTAAAAACATTGCATATTAGATAATGTGTAAGAAAATTGAACCCATTAGATATTAAAATGCTTTAACTAAAATTTGGTGCTGTTTCCTAATTTTCTTATCTATAAGGTACATATTAGAGAGGAATCCATTCAGAGATCCACTTAAGAGAACTGTTACAGAAACAGCCAAAATTGTAATATTTTCTTATGACCTAACCTTGGTCAGCTGACATTTTAGCTTTTCAGTTCAGGTCTTACAACTTCTTAATATAAGGTAAAAAAAAACTGTATAAATCAGTTTTAACAAAAAATTTACTAATAATATACTTTTTTTTTTTAATTGTACATGATAATATTTTAAGTTGAAAATTAAAAATATTACAATTTTTGTAATATTTCGGTTTTAAGTTTTAACCGAAATTATTATAAATTGTATAACTTTTTCAGTTGTGTACCATAAACTCATCGTAATATAATTTTCCGATTACAATCGAAAATGTTACAAATTATATAACCTTTTAGGTTGAACAAGATAACATTTTAGCTTGAAAACCACCTTAAATTAGGATTTGAGTCATCAAATGTTTTGTTTTGTTTTGTTCATCTACATTGAGATCACCAAAAGTGCTAAAATCATTGCAGAGTTTGCCTATCAGCAAAATGGAAGATTCTACCTTGATATTTATCCTTCAAACTGCTGCTTGCAAATGCTTAATTCATATTTAAACCAAGTAAATCTATTGAGGTTGTTCCACTTCCTAGCGATAAGCTTCATTGATATTTTTCTTGCGTGAATGTTGCTTGGTGACGATTGCATTTATGTTCTTAAATCATTTAAAATATAAAGCAAAACTCAATAGATTCCATCTTTTTCCCACACTATACACTTGTGTCCACATCACGACCTTAATACCTAAAAAATGTAAGAAATTGCCTCTTGAATCCCCCATGCAATTGGAATTTGTTTTTATTTCCACTTTCTTGAAACCATCAGCAATTCCATGTTCAATATGTCTCCCTTTATATATTATCCAACATCCATACTAATTGTGATCACCAATGCCTCAGTCTTTCCATCCGTCAACATTATCAATAATCATTCTCAACTTACCTGGTTTCAAAATTTATTGTGAGTGAAAAAAAAAACATGGTACCTGAGAAAGATGGATTTGAAGGAGTTGAATGGAGGATAAGAGTGGCTGATGGCTCATCTGAGGTTCCGGTTACGGATACATCGCTTGCGAGAAAGGTGTGGCTAAGAACAAAAGACTTATTTTCCTGTTTGGGTTTGAAAGTGTGGATGTTTCTGAAGAAAGCATGGGACATTGGGGCTAATGATCCTAGAAAAGTGATTCATTGCTTTAAGGTAGGACTGGCACTCACACTGGTATCACTGTTCTACTTTATGAGGCCTTTGTATGACGGTGTCGGAGGCAATGCTATGTGGGCCCTTATGACGGTCGTACTCGTATTCGAACCAAACGTGGGTAAGTACTAGTTTCCAAGTGCTTCAAAATCTACTACTTTTAAGGCTATCTAAACTGAACAAGTCAACTTTTCTTCATCACAGGCGCCACCTTATACAAATGTTTGAACAGAATATTTGCAACTTTTTTCGCCGGGTTTCTTGCCTTCGGGGTACACTGGATTGCCAGTCGATCCGGGGACAGATTTGAGCCCTATATTGTTGGAGCGTCGGTTTTCCTATTTGGTATGTACATTTAGTGATCAGCATATATAATTGCTTTCTTTGTGTTTATAATCTAGTGCTAAACTTAGGTGTTACTATCCCTTCAGCTTCAATGGCAACTTTCTTCAGATTCATTCCATCAGTGAAATCCCTCTTTGATTATGGTGCCATGGTCTTCATCCTCACCTTCAGCTTCGTCGCCGTATCAGGCTATAGAGTGGATAAATTATTTGACTTTGCGCATCAAAGAATATCCACCATTATCATCGGAACTTCCTTATGCATTCTTGTAATTATTCTTGTCTGTCCCATTTGGTGCGGCCAGGAGCTACATGGATTGACTGTTCGTAACATGGACAAACTCGCTGATTCCCTCAGCGGTACATTCTTCTTTTTCAATCTCTCTAATCCATAATAATCGTAGTTTGTTCCTCGAAGACATGCCTAAGAGCCTTTCACCACGGTTTCAGGTTGCGTAACACATTATTTCACCAACATCAATGGAGAAGATGATAAAAGATTGCAAGCTTACAAGTGCGTGCTAAGCTCCAAGGCATCAGAAGATTCTATGGTTAGTGACAGGCTTTGCTGCATCTATTGATTCACCGATTTTCTTAAACTACCCAAGTCTGAGTAACATAAATAGCAGGGAATAAGATCAAATTGTCAACTCTTATAATCATTGATCTGATTAGTAAATTGGCATCGTTTCCTACAGGCAAATTTTGCTAGGTGGGAGCCTTCCCATGGGCGGTTCAACTTCCGGCACCCATGGAAACAATACCTGAAAATCGGGGCATCGATGCGCAGTTGTGCGTACTGTATAGAGGCTCTCAACAGTTGCATCAACAAAGAAAATAAGGTCAAACAAGTTCAAACTGTTTGATCTGATTATTTGTTCCCTTATGGCATAATAGACTACTAATCCGGGCTGCATCACTTGTTTCATACTATAAACAGGCTGCTGAATCCATAAAGAAGCATCTCAGCGCTAGCTGTTTGGAAGTGAGCTCTAGCTCTTCCAGTGCCATAAGAGAGTTATCCGAAAGTTTGAAGAAAATGAAGTTGCCCACCGTACATATGTTTATTGGAGAAATGAACAGAGCAGTGGAAGAACTCAAGAATGACTTAAAATCGCTTTCTCAATTGCTGGATCCGTCGACAACCGGGGAAAACAAAGAATATGAGACACCATTCTTGGAGGCAACTGGTTCAGTCCTTTTCATGGAAATCATACCAGTTGTGACTTTGGCTTCTATACTAATCGAAATTGCGGTGAGGACTGAAGCCCTTGTTGGTTCTGTGGAAGATCTAGCGAAGTTAGCTAATTTTGCAACCATTGATGACAAGTTCAAGAAATGTGATATGAAAGATAAAATTGTACCAGATGAGGAGAAACCTGATGGAACCTTGGAGGCTCTTCAAAGGGTCTGAGCACCTAAGTCATGTTTCTTTGTTTTAGTTTTAATGAACACAAAGATATAGTAAGAAAGAACAAAACTAAAGCATTGGTGTAAACAGGATAAACACGTCAACAGGATAAGAGGACAGGAGTTTAAGATACTTTGATGGCATTATATTCGAAATTATGATCACATATGTTCTATAGTGCACAATGTTATTTACACGCCCCTAGAGATTAGGCCCGATACATGTGCATTTGAAATCGGTACAGAGGTTCTTAAGGAGGAGTTTAAGACTTTAAGGGCGTAGCATTATTATAAAGTATAATATAAAATTAAGTGATCAACTTATGTTGTATGTATTGTAAGTATAAAAATGTCGTAGAATTGAAGTATAGATACTATAAATTATATTTATAATTTGATAAGTTGTAGAATTATAAATACTTATAAGTTTGATATAATATATAGTTTATATAAACAAATAGGAGTGTTCACGGTCGGTTAATTGTACCATGTAGTCTAAACGATCGGTTAACCGTTATAACGATTATTAAAATTTGTTAACCATAACCTAATCATAAAGAAATGGTTAACCGCTAACGGTTAACTGTTATTTACGGTTCGATTATAGGCCTATGGTTAACCTATTACAACTTTTTTCCAATTATAAAACAACTTAAAATTTTCAAATTTTCATAAAATTTACGAAAACGAAAACATATATATTTGTAAAATTCTTATTTATTTATAAATGCATTTTATTTTATAAATATATATATATATATATCACAAGGTATATTCAATTTTTTACAGTTTAAAATCTTATGGGTATATTTATAAATATATTTTATTTATAAATTTTCCTTTTATATTATGTTATTTATTATATTAATTTAATATGGTCATTAATTTGCTTTTTGATGTATGTTAATTATGATTGTTTTGGATAAGTCAAAAGTTAACAAATTACAAATTAATGTTTTAATGTAACATCCCAAAAATCAGGGCTAGTGCTAAAATGAAAGTTCTGAAAACTTTGTGTTCAATTTTGAAAAATTGAAAAGTTCATGGATTTAATTGTAATTTCTTTGGGTATGACTGATTGGAAAAGAAGGAAAGATGGAAGGGCAAAATGTTCATTTGATGATACATGAATTAAAAATTTATTTGGTGGTCTTTATATCCACGTGGAGAAGGAAAGAAGGGAGGAAAAGAAATATCTGGAGACTTGGAGAGCTATCTTCTTCTTCTCCACCGTGACTCCATTGCTAAGGTGAGAAATCTTTCTAGTTGGTTAATTCTTGCACTTTAGTTATGGTTTTGATTCTTGAGGTGCTAGGAATGCTTAAAGAAAAGCTTAAAGTGGTTTAAAACTCAAAGAGAGATAAGATATGGAAGATTTAATATAATGAGTTTTTAAGTGAATTGTTGAATCAGAGTTTGTTAATGAATTTAGAAGTCATACTTGACTTGTAAAGGGTATAATTAAGAAGATAGAAGTAGTAGAAGTGGATTAAAAACATGTTGAACAATTTATATGATTTTTGGTTCCAAGTGTTCTATGAGAATATTGGATGTTAAAGTGTGTTAAAGTGAAGTAAGTTAGTCTAGGAGTGTATAGTTGAGTTTAAAGGCTTTATGGAAGAGTAAAATGGGAAAGATAACAAAGTTTTGGAAATTTTTGGGTTAAAAGAAGTGTAATCTGGGATAGTAGTATCGATATTTGTTGAGTGAGTACCGATACTACAAGGCAAATTTTTGGGATAATTATGCGTAGGGTATCGATACTGCATGAACAGTATCGATACCATAAGGAATAAGAGTGATAAATCTTCTTGAGGTATCGATACTGAAGTGATAGTATCGATACCAGAAGGTATTGATACCAATAGGGAGGAATCGGTACCATTCTTGCAATGAAATTACAGAATCCAAAATGGGTATCGATACCGTGGAAGGGTATCGATACCGTGGAAGGGTATCGATACCATGGAAGGGTATCGATACTACCGGCATAGAGGTATCGGTCCTTGTAGTACCGATTCTACTTAAGTTGGTAATTTGAAATTAATATTTTATTTAGGTTGAATTGGTAAGAATCTTTTCGAGTAATTCGAATCTCGATACTTATTGGATTGTATATTTGTGTAGATATCGATTGAGAGCAAAGTCTGGACAAGTTGATAAAGTAATAGTCATCGAGAAAGAGATAAGAGATCGGTATTGACTAGTGAGGTCAGGTGAGTGCATACTAGTCAGTATATGATGTTTAATGGAAATAAGACTTGCGAGAAGTCTATTTCCTATATTAGAATGCATGAACTCATGAATATAAGCATATGATTGATATGAGTATATGTGTTATATGTTATTGTACATGTGATATGATCTGTGTGAACACATGTTATGTGATTATGATATAAATCATGTGATAAGGAACTATGTGAACATATGAAAAGTGAAATAAGCTAAATAATATTTACCTATGTGACTATGTGTGAAATGACATCAGCTATGTGATTATAAAAGTATGTGAATACATGCCTATGAGATAGGCCATGTGACTATGAGCTACGTGAAAATAAGTGACGTGATTACATGATCACAAGAGATAAGCCATATGATGTGAATGATATGAGAAGAAGCTATAAGAATATGTCTATGTAATATGACTATGTGAATATATGACAAACATAATGATAATTCCCATGTTATGTGAAATGAGAGCTAGGGGTATAGTTGGCATGCCAAGAGTCGAGGGTTCTACGTGGTCCTTCGGGATATACATGTAATCTTTTGGAACATATATGCGGTTCTTCGGGACACATATTTGGTCATTTGGAATATATATGTGATCCTTAAGGAGTGGTCCTTCGGGACATTTCTACGCTGTCCTTCGGGACAAATTCTATGTTCCTTTAGTGGGAATTTATATGAGCTGTGGTGACAACATATGTGCACAACCTTAATGTACTCACATATCTTTAGTTCTCAGAAATATGCATGGGCTAATAAAGAGATAACAACAAATACACTGTATGTGATGTATTTGCTTTGTGATATGAAATGTATTGTTTGATTAAATGAGTTATATGATAGTTAAGAATGTTAAGTACAAGAAAATATGACAAGATATGTATATGTACACATTTGACTATATGTAATGTTATATTGTTTTGTGTGATATGATAGTATGAAATGTTCATGCATTGCTAGCAGTTAAAGTTTATATTATATGTTTTATCTGCCTCACTAAGTCATCGACTTAGCGTGTGAGTGTTTTATACGTAGGTTCCGATAAGATAAAAAAGGAGCAAAGATAGGCAAACATCTTCTCCTTTCCGAAGATCATATCAGAAAAGTAGTGATTTGTATGTATTTGATTTAGTAAGTACAGTTGGCATATAATTAAAGATTTAGTTGAGCATGCTCAGATTGGTTTGTAAAACTATTTGATCGTATTTAATATAAGTCATTCAGTTTACAAAAAAATAAATTTGAATTTTTAATTATTTTGTAAAAGTAAACGGTTTGAAAAGGCAATGTGACATCTTGTACTCATATCCGAGTCGTATACGGGTTGGAGGTGTTACATTTAATTTTTGATTGATTAATATTTTGTTTATTTATTATAGTATTAATTTAATGATAATGAATTTAGTTTAGCAAACTATGACCGATATGTTTTATGTGGTCTTAGAAATCTCTAAGTTTATAAAATGGTATTCTTGTAGTTTTATTTATTGTTATGATTGGATGATTTAAAAAAATAAATTTTTAAGTGATTTATGAAGTTGTGAACTGCATGATGTTTGACGAATTCTCGAAAAATAACCAATAATTTGAATTTTTTATTTTTGATAATACTATTTAGATAATCTTATTTTTAGTTACTTTGAAAAATCATGAAATGAACTAAAATGTCAGTTTTGATCTTTGACTATTATTATATTAAATTTTTTAATTACTGCTAATTATTATTTTGTTATTGAACATATATATGTTGCTAATGTTATGGATAATAGAATATATATTTTCTTTGATATATTCGATCCATTTTGATAAAAAAAATTAATGTTTGATCTTTGTTTATGATGCAAATATTAAAGTTGAATATTGATATTCATTTTGAGACGTCTAAATTGAAGTAATAAGTCGTTAAAGTGAATGCAAATATTAAAGTTGAATATTGATATTCATTTTGAGACACCTTGATTGGAGTAATAAGTTGTTAAAGTGAACTTAGTTATGGAAAATATTAAAATATAGGATGTTATGTGCATGCATCGTAGGTTATGTTAATATTGATCGGCCTAAAAGAAGAAGAATAGTTGACATAATTACATGTGTAACTTTGGTAATAAACAAGTGATAATTATTTAGTTTGATATGTGTGCAATGAATCAACCCAAGGAAGAATTTTTGCTCGATATGTTCTCATTATAAGTGTTTGATTATTACACTAGATATCACTTAAAGTGAATTTTTTTACAAAAATGAAATATTATGTAACTACCTAAAATTCATGTCAATGGAATCACATCGGTAACCGGATAAGTTATGTGATTTCTAATAAAACAAAAATTTTGGAATTAAATAAGAAAAAATTTAAAATACTAAAATATGATTTTTGAAGTATTAAATAATTTGAAAAAGGGTTAATTGAATTTTGAAAGTGAATAAATTACAAATTTTAGTGACCAAAATACAAATGAATTAAAATTTCAAAATCTATTAAGCAGTTTTGCCAAAGCTAATTTTTCCTCCAATCCCTTCATATTTGCCGTGAGATTCAATGTCATTTCCCTTTGTATATGTGTAGGATTATTGAGGCTCTAATGATCAACCGAAAATGTGTCAAGAATGGATGAATTGACATTTTTTTTTAATTTAGGTGTGAAAGTAAAGAGATAGATAAATTTGTATAATGATTTAGAGTGATTCAACTTTCTCAATGAAGTCTACATCCACTATCTTAGATCTACACTAAGGATTTCTTGCAAACCCACAAATTTGTTCTTTCTTTACCTAGGCTGAAGAGTAAGCTTTACATAACCTTATTTTTTTCAAAAGTTAAGATAGAACTAGTCCACTTTTTTACAAAAAGATAAATGCGTAAACAAAAAAAACCTCAC